TTCAAGACGCGATATTTCTTGTGGGTAGATGGAGGCGCATTTCGCAACATGCATTATCGCTTTGGCCCTTGGCCAAACAACAAAAAAGCTGTACAAATTTTTGAAAAAAACGGTCCTCGAAAACTTTTATTAGGTCTTATCAAACCACTCCCACTGAACATGTGTGTGAAACCGCGTACTGGTTCCGTACAGTATAATTTGGAAAATGGGCCCATCGCTAAAGATCTAATCCAAGCAACTGTGTTTGGAGGCTCGATGGAAAGCGTTCGTTGGTGGTCAAACCTGTATTATACAACCATTCATTTGTATATCAAAAGAAAATGGTTCATGGGAAAAGAACAAGATACGATGAACTCGGTTGCCCTTGCTCATCCAGAACGAGTACACGTGATTGTTGCATTCAAACTCAAATGTGGTGATGTATGGTTTGCCTTTGGACCTTTATTTGCCGACCGCCGACATATATCAACTAGCTTTGGTGATGCCTGTCAATCAGAAAATTTATCCTCAATTGTTGTTCCTCTAACGAAAGTGTGTCTTGATGAAACAAATATGATCAGTCATTGATTTGCTGTCAGGCACAGCTTATAACTACCTCAACTGCACATATCGATTTGATATAGATTTCTTACCTTTATGAAACATGCAGTATAATAATATCCTATATTCAAACTCGATCCGAAATTCCTATAAACTCTGCAATTTGGATGATTCCGCATGCTGTTCTTAATTTTGTGTCAATGGTCGTATTTATTTCAAATACACTTTTGAAGAGAGTGTAGATGTGATTGTAGATGTAAGGCGTGGATCTCAAAAACACTGACGCCCATATTCACACCCTGTTCGATAATAGATCTATTTCTTGTTTTGATTTCCTCATTGGCACTTAATTATAAGGGCTTTCGCCATGTGCCGATATGTGAGATTTTTTTATAAAGTATTTATTCGTGCTTTCGTTATTGCTAGTTTCTGTATTTCTTGTAGTGAATTATGTTTGTCTTTTGTATTGATTTGCAAGTAGGAATGCCACTATCTGATGATCATAAGAGGGTGTGGGTGTATTTCTTTGCTCATCCTCACACTCACACCCACACCTGCACTCATTAGATATATTCATGTATTTTTTCTGTTATGATGATAAGGCCTAATTGACAATGTTGTTTCAATTCAACTAAAAAAACTCTGCTCGTCGCTTATTTCAACCAGAATATGCTATCCACTGTGATTTAAAGTATTTTCTAGAGTATGCGCCGTATCCATTTAAGACAATCATGTAATTTTGTCGCTATATTCTAGCTTCTTACTTTTAAAATGGATTCCAACCATCAAAAATAATCATGTTAATTCTCGTTCGTATAGCAGCAATTTACAAGTTTCAGAAGGCAGTAATCCAACGGACGACATAAAAATAATAGCTTTTTCTATATTTTCAAAGTTTCTTTTTCTTCATAGATAAGGTCACTCCATTTTCATGTTCACTCAAAATCTTTCGTTGAAACTATAGAACCATGTATTTGATTCATAGATTCTAATCATTTGTAATGTACGGTACTCTTAAAAAATATTTGATGAAAACACTGCATAATATGAAATATTCTTTTTGTGAACATTTTCATAACGCATTTTGAGTATTTCCTACTATTATTTCGCCTTATAGTGAACATAAATATTTAAAGCAATACCTTAAGGAAAACTTAGTTTATAAGAGAATGATTCAAGTTATCAGTTGGAACATTCTTTTGATAAGGTCATAGTATGACCATAGAATTAAATTACGTTATGAAATAGCCAACAAAATAGAACTTTATCTTGTGTACTCAATTTGATTTGATGCTTACGAACTATTCTACACCATAGACGTAGTTCTAACGGATGAGTGAATAACACTGTTCTTTAGATGATTCAATAGAGTTTTCATTCAAACATCAACGGAACCACTATTGAGCGAAAAGTGATGTGTTGACAATAGCAGATGCCATCCTATACAACACTCGTTAGCTTTAGATCTGAGAAAAATTGAAAATTTTTCGGGTATTTCCTGAGAATACATTGTAAAGTGCGGTGTGATTGTTTACATGAAATATTTCAAATAGTACCAAAGATATCGAGGTCGACATTGCAATGGGAAAGGACATTATAATCACTCGAAAAGTAACAAAAAAATAATGATGAAAAATTGTCACAAAAAATGCCAAAAAATAAATGTAGTGACAGACACTAAAATAGTATTTTTTAAATCATTCCTGTTTTGGTTCAAAGTGATCATTTCAATGGTTTTTACCACATTCATTTTTCGACATTTTTTGTGACAGTTTTTCAAGATTATTTTTTATTACTTTTTGGACCACTTTAATGCCATGTTCCGGTTGCAGCATCTGACTGTATTATTTTAGTTGTCAAATGAATCTAGATATTTGTTTCAGTGATGAAATTCATTACTGGTTTTAAATAAATCTTAGGGTTTATTTCGTCCTTGAGACGTGTGCAGATAATTAGAATAGATCCTGGGATTTCTTTCTGTTTCCTGATTAATTTCGACTTCTAAAGATACAGTGGCGCTCAAAATTGATCATACA